AGTCACTGTAACTATCAGAATTGACATTTTTAAAGATCATGATAAATAAGAATTAAAATTTGACTGCATGTTTAAATACACTTATTTGACCATCTTCTCTGGAAATAATAATTTTTTAACTTAAAAAAAGAATCATAATATTGGATCATTTTTATACTATATTTATCCTCAAATGTCTTTAAGGATGAATTTAAAAAAAAAAAAAAAATAAAGTAACTGTGATAAATAGGAAGGGAATATCATAATCATTTCGTCATGCTTAGTCAACAGTTATATTAACCTACTTCTACGAGGGCTGTTTGGAAATTATTGAGACAATTACATTTACTCCATAAAGGATGGAGATACTGTCATGAAAATTCATCAACATTTTATAGAGAACGAATAAAAATCGTATGCAAAATTTCTAATTCCTATGATAATAAGAAAAGTTTCGGTGAAATGATAAACATGCATATGCCTATCGACCCGGAGCAGCATCGATACGTCATTTAACGTCAAGTCAACCGGAGATAGTTTCGCATGCAAAACGATCGGGAAGCATGTATACTTTTCCTTCTTTGTAATTACATATAACAGTACGAAAATCAAACAGTCTTTTTTCTTAAACTTCCTTAAAAATGTATGCTGTTGCTACCAGAGTGTAAAATTTTCATTTGTGGAAAAAGGTGACTTAAAATCATGCAGTGCCGATTTATGCAACGCAGGTCAACGATATTAATACCGTAACGACATTCATACCGTACGTAATAACTGATGGTCGTCCGGAGCTTTTGATTTTACTCTCTGGTTGGATTAATTGTAAAAAAAATGTATACCAATGAAATAACAAACCCTAACTCATTATTTTTTCTCGTTGTTATTGTTTTAGCAGGTCGTTGAGTCTGCAAAAGAGTTCTACATTGCGCTACACAAAATTTTAGTTATGTTCGCTGCTCCGACCTTGACGTCAAAATCCATTTTTTGTTCTTAGCAGATTTCTCTACCGCTCTTAATTTTTTTATGATCTCCATATTCCTGATCAAAATTCTTAAGAATTTGCAAAACATGAATTTGAATTACAGCTGAAAAATTATACACATAAAGACAATTATTTTCGCTATTATTATCGGTCCACGAAGAGTTAGAACGTTGGTGTTACATATTTTCAATATCCGATTTCGAGACTGCTCCGGGTACCCCTACTGATGACGCATTTATATACCATTGTACAGAAAATATTTAATATTTGTAAAATATTTTTTACTTATATTAATTCTTAATGTATGTCAAACGTTTATGCAAAATTTCACCAAATGACGTTCATTAGAAAGCAAAATATACACAATGTCTCAATAATTTTCGAACAGCCCTCGTACAACACTGGTACTTCTCAAAATTTAAAATACTTCGATGTGAGATCTCACTGTCATACTCTTGTTCATGGTGTACAAAACTGTCGATCATCTTTCATCTTAAACATAAAGATATTGATGCAAAAATCATTCTCGGTGTCAAACTCTAAGTTTTTTCTCTTTGTATGTGAATATTTGTGTCTGAGGGTTTGTGTGTGAAAGGTAAGGTTTGTGTATGTAAGCGATCGGGTTTGTGTATGAGAGAGAGAGGATATATGAGAGGATGTCTGTGGGAGGGTGGATGGGTGTTTGAAGAAAGATAGAGATTTGTGGAGATAGAGATTGAGAGATCAGCAAACCCAAAACACTATTTCAAGCGTAAGAGAGAGAACATTTATATATTATATAATATATTAAATATTCTTCTCTTTTTCTTATTTCTACATATTTAGAATGAGTTATGTTATTCTTGATTTCTTATACTCGCCACAGTGTCTGTTAAATGATTCATAAAATTTTGTACACCAATAAAATAATGCAGTGCAAAAATCGATGTAAATAGCCTTTTTCCTTAAATATATCGAATTTAATATCAGAATTATTCATCTTGTAAGATTCATTTAATTTTTTTTCAAATATAACGAACACGTATTTATATTTCAACATTTTCCATTATACCAAAGGTATTTGTACAGCATTATTGTCAAATAATAGCATTTATGTAATCATGTGTTTTATGGTACCAGAGTTTTTGTTTTCTTAAAATCAAAACATATCATATGTAATGTGTATTTGGCGTCTATCGGGGAATTAGCCAAACCTGTGTATATTAACCAATCAGAAGCGTGTATTTTCAGGTGTCTCAGAATAGCGCCACTTCACTGTTTTAGAGGGAAAACAAAAACACGTTAAATTTTTCTACTTAAGAAATCAAGAAATCACCATGTTTTCCTGTGGAAATTGAAAGATTCCTATAGTAGACCATCAGTAAATAGCTTTATCTGGATTCTGGTAGACCTAGACAGTGAAGTAAGTTCTTATTGGTGACTTTTTAACCAACCAGGATTCGACAGCTCCGTCCAAAAAGCCCACAACACGATACGGGGTTTACAGTCACTTCGTACACAAACCAAGTCGTACACAAACCAACTCGTATACAAAAAGTCAACTCGTACACAAAAAAAAGTCAACTCGTACACAAACCAGAAGTCAACTCGTACACAACTCATACATAGGTTTTCCTATGTGGTTTAAGGTAATATTTGCCACAGTTTCCAAATAATTGAGAAGTCAACTCGTACACAAATGTGTTTTGAGTTAACTAAATTAAGATTGTCGAATTCATTCTTAATTCTTAAATTAATTCGTAAATAAATGTAATCATCTTAAATAATTCTTATATTGTCAATTTAAATATTTTGTTTGTTAAATATGTAGTTGAAAAACTTAATTCAAATGGATTTTTAATTGTCAACAAAATTGTTATACGTAGATTTTATATTTTTAAAAAGTTTTCTGTTATGCAAGTAATGCATGTTAATGTAGAATAAAATATCTATAGCATCCTAATTTATTATGCTAAATAGATATATAGTGTAGATAGTAAATGCGATCTAAATGCAATCTAAATACATGGTAAGAATTTAATGGTATACTGTATAACACATTTTTCCTACACTTATCTAAACTTATTTAAATAAAAAAAGTTTTAGAAACTTACCGTCTTGCTGCAGGAAAGACAAATCTCTCTAAACATGGTGAAGTATAAGGAATGAAGAAACTTGGAGACGTTTTCGATACATATAGTATCTCATAATTAAAGGATACCGAATTATGGGCATCTCGTAATTAGCGTTTGTCGCAGATTCAAGAAACCACCGTGCCTGTGTTGGTTTAACAATACTTCTTTGATGTCTTTGATGTTCCTATCAGGGAAGTTGTATTATTTAAATATTTAGGGGGAAAACTTAAAGAAAAGTAACACTTCGCGTTATCAAACATTATTTGTATAAAATTAAATCATAACGATTGTATTATAAATCTTGTGTACGAGTTGCCTTCTGGTTTTTGTGTACGAGTTGACTTTTTGTATACGAGTTGGTTTGTGTACGACTCGGTTTGTGTACGAAGTGACTGGACACCGATGGCGGAAGGTGCGAAGATTCATGTTCGAATCATGGGACATTCATACATTCGCCGGTTAGGCGAATTTATCGCAGCTAATGAAAACTATGCTAATTTACACATTAGATAATACACGATATTTTGTGGACTTTCAAGCTAGAGGGGGGCTAACCTTTCAACGTCTAGCACAGTGCGCGGAATTCACTAATTTCCCCAAACCTCCCCCCGAGGTGTGCTTTCTGCAAATGGGCGGCAACGATTTATGCCGGGTACAACCCCACAAAGTGGTGACAGATTTACTCTCATATGCCCAGTATTTGCGTGACGGCGTGGGAATCAAAAACGTTGTAGTGGGTCAATTGTTACGTTGACAGCCATGGGCGACCAGACCAGGGTATAACGAAGACGTCATATACGTTAACAATAAATTGAAGGAAGGAACTGCTACCCTAGAAAACATTTATTATTGGCAACATCGTGGATTTTGGACGGACCTGTCTTATCTTGGTCATGATGGTGTACACATAGAGGGAACATCCAAACACATGAAAAAATACCTCCACAGCATTCGTATTGCAGTTCTTCACCATTCCAGATAAGCCAGTGTTTTTTAATTGTATTAACTATAGATCTGTAACTCTATTACATGTCAAAATTCAGTATGGTCACACGCAGAGTAGTGTACATTAATTTAATCTCATGCAGAGTAGTCTGATTCAGTTTAAGCGTATGCAGAGTATTGTGCATTATTTTAGTCACACGCAGAGTAGTGCGCATTAGTTATGTCACACGCAGAGTAGTGTACATTAGTCCAGTTACACGCAGAGTAGTGTGCATTAGTTGAGTCACACGCAGAGTAGTGTGCATTAGTCGAGTCACACGCAGAGTAGTGTGCATTAGTCGAGTCACACGCAGAGTAGTGTGCATTAGTTGAGTCACACGCAGAGTAGTGTGCATCAGTTGAGTCACACGCAGAGTAGTGTGCATTAGTTTTATTCATACAAATGTATTAGTCTCTCTCTGAGTAGTATGTTAAGAGATTAATGGCATGTACTTATGTAGAATACTGTGAAAATTTATCTTATTATTGTACTTGGTAGTCATACAATTAAAACAATATGCTTTGGTTGTTGTCACAATTGATATTGCCTATATGTTATATGCATAGTGCATATAATATTTTGTTATTTGCAGTAAAGTTTACGTAAATTTTGATCTCAAACATCTGGGTGCATAAATCTGAGTTGAGTAATTAATAACAGATGCAGTCAAATGGTTCCAAAATTTATTTTAAGATAAAAATATCAAGTTTGATTAGTTATCAATGATATATCGGACTTGACACACACTGAGAATGATGTGTTAAGTCCTGAGAAGAAATAATATCTGTTTGCCTTATTATATATAAGGCACATCTTAGGTTAGCTTAGACATATCATAGTTTATTAAAACAGTGAAGTCATTTTGTAGGAGTCATGCCTAGGAAAAAGACTTCCAAACAGACAGACGGCCAGGGTATGGATGTGCCATCCGCAAAACGTCGGAAGCCAAATTAAGCTTCGGGGGCCACAATTGCAAATTATTTCAATCAGGAAATCAGAAATATTTCATATTGCAAGTACTTTACTTTTGTCTGTTTTTTTCTTTTCCCTAATATTTCAAATTACTAGATGTAAACATTGTTCAGATTCAATTCATTAATATAAAGATGAAGTATTTTCGTGATTTAAAGTAGAAATAACACTTAATCGCTGTTATTAATACCTTTTATCTATGCTTTTGGCAATTCCATTTGACACTTTTGTCTTAGTTTTAAAAAATGCTCGTTACCTCTACTTTTGAACCTTATTTGACAACATTACCAATAGGGAATACAATAAGTTAATCCAAAAAAGGACAATGTGCTTTACATGCAGAACAATTTTATATACATTATCGGAACTTTAAAGTAATTTTAAGCAAGTCTAGTTTTGACAGAGCCTTCAATTTCTGTTTTTAAGGTCAGACGACACGTTTCTCAAAAACATATAATTTTTTCTAAGAATTTGTCATTGAAGTATAAGTACTAAAACAAGTTTGCTCGCAAAAAATTAGAGTATATTGCAAGGCATTTGGACAAGATACCACAGGGTCATATTCTTAGATAACCCTTCTAAGTAATCTTCTGAATGATGTATATCGCAATTTTTTAAGGTACTTACATTCAAAAACATTTTGCAAACAATGTAGAAAATAGAAGGGAATGAAAAAAATGAATAAGTTATGATATAATACCAAGAAATACACAATCTGATAAAAATCAGATCCTTTGATCCGACTTTAATTATATTGAAGAAATACAAAACATATATTTGAGAAATGTGTCGTCTTTCCCTAATAGTATGTTATACATTGTTAATTCTTTTGAAAAGCAAGCACAAAAACAAGATATATTGATAATGGCAAAAGAAAATTATTATATCGAATGCTAATAAAATATAGTGAATAAAGCAAAACAATCTTTCTTTTATGAGATGTTATAAAACCAACAACTGTTATTATAGTAATATCTTCATTTCCTTAACAAAATAATCCTGTAGCAGTTGAAACTAAACCGTTGTTTCTTGATGTTTTTCCTGTTTCAAAGGTGTCGTTTCTGCTTCATTCTTTTCTTTTCGTAGAATTCGTTTCCTCGAAATATCTTTAGAAATACAATTGTACAAAAAAGATAATAACAAATGTTATTATGAATTTTATAAGACATGGAAATTACGTATTCGTATGACTCTAATTATCGCTATGTCATAGTAATTTTCCTTTCAACATATTAGGCATGATGACATTGGATGTCATGATGACATTATGCAATAACATTCTCCATGTTAAATTAAAGTTCAATAAAAGAGATAAAAATCAATTATGTGTGTTCGTTACTTTGTTAGCTATTTGTTTCTCTTGACATCGTATTTCTTTCTGATTTGTTTTAGATTTAAAAACAGAATTTTCAAGTTTATGGACATTTACTAAAATATTGGAACTTTAAAAAAAAACTAAAAAAAAAAAAAGATTTTGGAACTCAAATTGGAGAAAGACTGGTAATTAACTTGTATTCGCTATGAGACATATAATATTATTATCCCCCTCCCTCTTGAAATGTGAAAAGGTAAAAAAAATGTGAGGGGATGGTCGTCCATCTGTATGTTTGTCCGTCCTTCCGTCTGTCCGTCAACTTATCCGCCCGTCTCTTTTGCTTTTGGGTACCCTACTCTTATCCGCAACTCCTCTCATACAATAGAATAAATCTGAAAGCTGAATACGACTTGTAAATAGGCATACGCAATTTTCGATATTATTATCTACGATACCAGCACCAGAATATCTTCTTTATATTTTTTTAACGAGACTTTCACAGAATCTTTGTCATACATAGTGCTGCGTTGTGCATGTCCTATTTAACCTTTTTATCCGTCACATATATTTTGGTTTCTTATATCAAAAAATATGGAAGTTGCCATTCTTTCTATAATATCAAAGAGTACAAATCCCGTACTCGGAACTCCTCCTATGCAACTAAATAAAATTTAGTGATACTTTCACAGATTCTTTATTACATGATGCTATTGTTCAGCTCCTAATTTACTTTTTGATGTTACACTTCTTCCAGAGCAAAACCTAGGCTTTGTCTTTATTATCATATGGGCGGTGGGAGTTTCATTTAGTGAGCTCATTGCTTACAATACTTCTAGTTTTTAAGTTGTGCCTGATGTATGTTTTGAGCATTACATTTATAAAATCCTTAGTTTATTTCATTGATGATCATAAATCTTTCATTCTCCAACATTTGAGCAATCAATATCGGTTTCTTACAATACTTCTAGTTTTTAGCTCACCTGAGCCGAAGGCTCAAGTGAGCTTTTCTAATCAAAATTTGTCCGTTGTCTGTCGTTGTCGTTGTCGCTGTCGTCGTTGTCGTAAACTTTTCACATTTTCATCTTCTTCTCAAGAACCACTGGGCCAATTTCAACCAAACTTGGCACAATGTATCCTTGGGTGAAGGGGATTCAAAAATCTTTAAAAATCTCCTTCTCCAGAACCACTGGGCCAGGAAAGATGAAACTCATGTGGAATCATCCTCAGGTAGAGCAGATTTAAGTTTGCTCAAATCATGACCCCCGGGGCAAAGGTGGGGCCAAAATGGCTGACCCAAGTTTTACATAGGAATATATAGGAAACATCTTTAAAAATCTTCTTCTCAAGAACCACTAGGACAGGAAAGATGAAACTCATGTGGAATCATCCTCAGGTAGTGCAGATTCAAGTTTGTTCAAATCATGACCCCCGGGGCTAGGGTGGGGCCAAAATGGCCGACCCAAGTTTTACATAGGAATATATAGGTAAAATCTTTAAAAATCTTCTTCTCAAGAACCACTGGGCCAGGAAAGATGAAACTCATGTGGAATCATCCTCAGGTAGTGTAGATTCAAGTTTGTTCAAATCATGACCCCCGGGGCTAGGGTGAGGCCAAAAGGGCCGACCCAAGTTTTACATAGGGATATATAGGGAAACCTTTTAAAATCTTCTTTTCAAGTACTTCAAAGCTATGATTAGTGATATTTATATGGAATCATCCTCAGGTAGTGTAGATTCTAGTTTGTTCAAATGATGAACGCCTGGATGGGGGAGGGGGGGGGGTGGAGTAAATTCAAGCCTGATGTGCTCAGGTGAGCGCTATGGCCCCTGGGCCTCTTGTTAAGTTTTGCCTGCAATATGTTTTGAGCATAACATTTATAAAATCCTTAGTTTATTTCATAGATGATCAGAAAACTTTCATTCTCCAACATTTGAACAATCAATATCGATAAAGATTTATTCATCATTAAGGTCAAGATCTAGTATATGTATTTCTACAACTACTAACTTCTTGGTATTGGCATGAGGTCAAAATTACTTTTTACTTTATTTTCCCCGTACTTTACGGCTCTAATAGAATTATGTAGAAAGTAAAGTGTTTTCATGGAATTCAATTTAAAATTACATGAAAAGCAGTCCCGATACCTATATTAAATTTTACATTATTTTAAAGAAGAGGCCATGAACATATAAATTACCGTTTTCCGAAAGACTAGGCAATCTGGATACATTTTCGTTGCCTGATAAGGAAAAAACTCCTTTATCCACGTCTGGACTTCTTAATTTTTCATTGGAAATGAGAGTTTGCATATGATTTTTCATCTTGTTTACGTACAAATTATACCCGAAACACCATTTTTGACCAAGCTGAAGTTATAAAGCATCATTCAAGGAATTTATTACTAAAATTCGATGAATCTGTAGGCATCTTTCATTTACTAGATCTTGACCTTGATGCATATGAAATTAATTGTGAAAAACGAACAGTTTCTAAGGTAAAAAGTCAATTTTAACAATACAATTCAGAAGCAAAATAAACAAGGATATCCAAAACAACAGAAATGGCATCATGTGCCATGGAGGAGTGAGCATCCCCTGCCGACTATTCATATCTGCCAAGTGCTCCTTGACATAATGGAAAAACGGAAAACATATATAATTCAGTTTGTAAATAATGACCTTACAATTCGCATGAAAAACGCCAGTCAGCATTTGACCCAATGACAGGTTTTGCTGACAATGCCACTGAAACTTGCAAAACAATGACTTCAATCGAGAATGTTGATAACCTTATTTACAGCACTTTCAATTAAGTGAGTTATTGTGTATTGAAAGTAATTTATATCGGGATTGATACCATTTTCTGGTTTGTAATTATAAGAAGAGTTGTGCGATTTCCGCTCTGAGGTACACTGTCCATTTAATTTGAAGAATATCGTAAACGAACTATGTGAAATATAAGAAAACCATAATAATACTGTATACAGGGAAATTTTCGCCCCTTTCGCCCTCTTCCTGATTGGGCGAATTTAAAACGGTGCGAATTGAAATTACACAGCATAATTTCTTAAACAAATCTATAATTGGGCGAATTTAAAACGGGGCAAAATTATTCGAAAGTGCAAAAGGGCGAAAATAACACTGTATACAGTACTTAAAACTGTAAGATAGCATAAAATTGTAGTGATGTCAAACTCACAGTCCATCAGCAAAACACCCGCAAGGAGGATTATGGCACAAATACACCATACCATACCGGCCGATAAAATGAAAATCAAAATATCCTTGACCATGAATGATTGTTGCCTACAAAAGATTTTTAAAAATCTTTAAAAAATCGTAAAAAATTATAATCTGTCAAATTTGATATACATTTAAAACTAAGTAATTGTCTTTATTGTAGATAAACAAAGATACACAGCGGGTTTCTGTAAATGTTCAACCAAGCCCCTTTCTTTACTCTCACTATGATATTAACAGTAGTGAAGGAGAAACTTCAAGAGTACTGTGCAACAATATATAAGAGAAGTTGTGTAAATCAGATGAGTATACTGAAAAATTAAAGGAACTATTTGAAAATTTGAAATCACAAGATTTTATCAAAATAAACAGCTTAACAACTTACGACTTTTCAACTTTATACACAAACATTACCAACAATAAATTAAAGTCCAGGCATTTTGATATCATTGACAGCTGCTTTTTCAAGAAAAATAGAACTCTTAAAATGTCTTACCCTGTCATTGTCATTTGCAAAATTATTTCGTTAAAAACATTCTAATTGTGCACACAGGTACTCTGAGGTTTTGATCAAAAAGATGCTTGATATTCTGAATGACAATATCTATGTGGTTTTTGAAGACCAGATCTAATATATCCCTTTGAGCTTGATGATACCACAGAGTCTGATACATCTGTTTTATATTTAAATATTTTAATTGAAAAAAAACGTTAATGGTAATATAACAACCAAGCTCTATGATAAACTTGACGACTTTAACTTTTCTATCGTCAACTTCCCTTACTTGGAGCACAAGGCGGGTTTGAATGTTGGCAGGAGATGCTCACCTGATTGCACCTCTGATGTTTTGAAGGTCCGTGTTTGTCTTTTCCTATTTGTATTGTTTTATGGACTTTTGAACTTGAATAGTGTTTGTTATCTCCATATATTTAAATAATTAAAAACTGTCAAAATTTTCTATTCTGAAGTTAATGTAATCGATAGTGCCCGGCACTCAGGGCCATATATTGAGCAACGATGGTTCTTTTTCCTGCTTGTCTTGATATGGGGCCTCGGTTTTTTTTAAAAGGTCTCACCCGAAGGACCTGCAAATTTCACTTCAAAGTACCAAGCGCATGGCGAAGGAACAGTTGCTACCCATTTTTTTTTATCGACTTAGGTCAGTCGCGGCTGAGATTCGAACTCACGACCTCCCGATCACGGATCGAGCACTCTACCAACTGATTTTTGGTAATAAGAAAAAAAGAAAGAAATTGTAGGAAAGGGGAGTCTCTTTACTATTTTTCCTAGGTTCTGGGCTAGTCTTGATTTCGAAAAAGGGCTATGGAGCATGTGTATTTTCTTGCTAAATTTTTTTAATTTTTTTTTTAATGTTGCGGATAAATTACCAGTATAATAACTGAGAGCAGACAAAGTTTTGTACAGTGCCAATACTTTGATGTTTCCTTGCGTATATTTTTGCTTTATGGTGATTTTTTTTATTGATATTGCTTGCAGGTTAGAATCTTATGGGTGCCCCTGACTGCTCATATACTTACTATCAATTTTAAATGTAACTCGTAAATCGTAATTCTTACTAAAATGCACTTATGTACTTCGTTCACGTATACATTTACGAGCTACGACCTACAAGTGAAACGATCGCGAGATCTTCTCCTAGGTACCTTAAATGTTAAACTTTTGACATTGACCTTGGAGGTTGACCGACTTTGAAAAAAAAACGTAAATCGTATATTATAGCTTTTAAAAGATTAGTACTTGGGTTTTCATTTTTCAAATACATATGCATTGACAGAAGTCCTTTGTTTGGGTAAAAACATGTTCGATCTGTTTAACTTGACCTTTGATTTGGTCTTGCACTTGAAAATCTCTACCCTCCTCAGATGCTGCTACACAAGGGTATCAATGTTTCACAAACACGATTGGATTTTTTTTATCATGAATGAAGATTGGAGTATCCACACTTCAAGTGCCAATTGTCACACGTATTATTACCTGTTCATAGTGGAATTTGTTAAGGTTGTATTCATTCCATATTTGTCTACTTCTTCAACAGAGTTAAATTTCGAGGACCTGTTGTAACATTGCGGATCTGCAATAAGAAAAATGTACATAATTATCAAACTATACTTTAAATATCATGAGAATAGTTAAAAAATCCCATCCTTTGCTAAAGTGATTCACTACTATTTTACTGATCAATATGATATGTGGAATTTTGTCAGAAAGTTTTTTGGAGAAAAGTTAGAATCAAGATAATAAACACATTAAAATGAAATTTAATTATCCATTCCTTAAACAAATAACAAACATATGACTAGATACACGAACTTTAAATAATTTGATAAATAAATGAAATTACACTTGTACATATCAGACGAGAAGTAAACATGTGGACACGGATTGGTGTACGTATCACAGTCTGCCAATGGATTGTACCGGTTAGCCTGTATTACCATTCCCTCCTTGTTATACTCGGCACATCGTTTCCCTATTATGGATTTAAAAGAATTATTTCCCTATAAAATGAGTCTAAAACAAATGCTTTTTGAGAAACTATGGTAATTTTTTATTTCGTTAGAAACATAATGATTAAGCTAAAAATCCGTGTCATACCGATAATATTCACTCTCTCGGCACAGAATTCTACGAAATCTTCCATGTTCGTATCCGGAAGACAGTGGTATTCCATTTCACCACATTTGTCTTTACATTTCAATCTTTTTGCTGCTTCTTGAAGTTCTTTCTCTGATGTTGGGCAGCCTTGAATCTCTTGAGGCAAATCAATACTCGGGGAGCATTCAAGCTTCACTTCCCTGTACAGCTGGGAATATATAATTCATATTTATAAATGATTATAATTTGCTATATTTTTAAAATCAAAATAAATATTAATTTAATGTCACTATTTTAAACGGAAAAAAGAAAATGAATTCTAACTATAACATGATTATTAATTTTTTTTTCGAGAACATAGATTGTGCATTGATACCCACAAAATAGCACTGAGTATATAATCCGACGCATGTTTTTTTTTTAATGAAAATGTGTAAAAAATGAGTAAAAAATGTTCAAATAGATACTTACCATGCATAGCACAGCTGTAAAAACTGTTATTACTGAAACAGTAACAAAATCATTGAAAGTCTTATTTTTTATCCTAGTATGGAATTTCAAAAAAATGTACACTGAGTCGTCGCAGATTTTTAAAAAAAATTCTTTTATTATCATATAAAAAAGCGCATTAAACTCTTTCCATAATCCCTTTAAAGCTGTATTTAGGCTTTAAATTACTTTTTGTTGTTTGAATTTTTAATGAAATCAATCACTGTTTGTTGTTTTTACTTTTTTTTCATTTTTAGCTACATCTTGTGTGCTTCGATTCTGAATTAAAACATATTAGATACCATTTTTGTTCATTGTATTTGCCTCAAGAGAAACCAGGCTGCTGCTGTCTTCATGATCTTCTACAAAAAAGTAAATATGTTTAATTAAAAATAAGATCAAAAATACAGAAAGAGAAAGACTTACGTGATGTACGATGCAGAAATTTTTACAATTATATACATTTCGTGAAATACATAAACATATAATTATATTTAAAAGTAAAAATCCAAAAATATCACAAAACATTTACTGCAAGCGCTAAGAGCCGAACATGACGAAAACGCTTGCAGTAAATGTTTTGTGATATATTTGGATTTTTACTTTTAAATATACCAAAGACTGTACCGATTCTTCATTTTAATTTGAAATCATATAATTATATAGATGATATAAATTAATTAGTGTTAAGTCAATAAAAGCATAAAATAAGGTAGTCGATTTCCGATGTACTCTATTACAGGATGATTTAAATTATCTTATACAATTTTGACTTTCAATTACGTTGTAAATAATAACTTGTTGCTGTGCAAAATGTGTACTACTTTCTCCATATCTCATGTACTACTTTGCTTGCTAAAATATTTTGTGCAACGTCTGCAGTTAATCTGGGACGATAAATACAGGACAGGAGGGCTATTAACGACAGTTATAAAGAATTTTGTTGTGGAAACAGTGAAAATTATGTGCGAAATACACGGTTAGTATACAATTGATCTAAAATTTTTAAAAACATGGAGAAATATATCGACAAACAGCACATTTTTTGTGCGCAATATATACACCTTTTTCATTGGGTGGCACTGTACCTCTCCGGGCCGTCAACATGTTGTTTTTTTTCAAAGAGCAACAGTTCTACAGCTCGACAAAAGGGACTTTTTCATTGCATTTTAAAATGCACACGATATGTTTTTGTGCAATACTTTAAATATCTTTACAACAGAGAAACTTATCAATGGAATTTATATCCAATTTGTTTGATTTTTTTTCCAATCGTGCGAGGGCATATATTTGAAAAATATCATTACCCAGAGGAGTTCTATATAATCTCAATTGATGATTTATTAATGTATTAATAATACTTTGGTGTTTGTTAATATCGTTTTCAACAAATAATTATCTAAATAATTTAATATTTAGTAGAAAAGAAGGCAAAGAAAAGCTTAATATTTTGCAAAAATTGCATTGTCATTCAAATGGAAAATTTATTTAAACTGCGCAGAATGCACCATTCGGCCATTTTTTTTTATTATCGTCTATTGTCCCAGCTTTCTGCATAACTTTGAGATAAAGAAAGTTAATATATGCTTACAATTTTGTCTTGCAATATATTAGTTGTTTAATATAAACATAAAATGAGGTGAGGAATTGTAATTCAATAATTTTTACTTATTTTCCTTAAAATTACTCTAGAAGTGATCTTACCTGTGACGTGTCCTTTTTTTCTTTACCCGGATGTTATTGTCTGTTTTTATTTTTAGATTTTAAATAACACCTGTCTTTCATTTTACAAAACGAAAAATAAATATTTAAATTGATTATAAAGCATTTTCAAAAGACAATTGCTTTAGAAAGAGTTACTTATCATTTTAACAATACTGAATGAAATGAAAACTATGGACATAGGTAAGCGTGCGACGAAAAAGTACTTCACATATTTTTTTGGTTTTTGTAATTAGTACGAATAAATGATAAATGATATAATAACAACAGTGATAAAACTACTTTCAAAGCATAATAAATTTATTTTTTTTAAGTCTTAAAATGTAAATTTAAGTTTGTTTAAAAGGGGGAAACCGGGGTTATTGTACTATATAAAGTTGTATCTATAATAACGAAGCTCTGCACTCAGAAAGTGCCAAAACAATTATACAGTATGTACTGTCCGATCCTATTCACCTGAACGTTTGTGAATAAAATATTGTTTTAAAGAAATCGTAAGTACTTTAAGGTTGTCTGATATAAATAAAAAGACAGATCTACAAAATTAAATCAGCAATTTAAGTTTACATGCAAGAATTATTCACGTATCTTTACAAAATGCACTGGAATTATAGTTTTATGCTGCTTTGGTTTCTTAGTTATAAAAATTTGTTGTTTTATTTAGTTTTTTTTTCTTATTAAGTTTACATTTATTATGTTTTATTTTTCATTTTAATGTTGTTAATTTCTTTGTTTTAAACCTATATACATATTGATTGACAGGTTGTAATGTTAAAATTGTGTAAATAATAAAAATCCGTGGTGTGATGCATGTTTTGTTCTGGAATTAAAGCTTGATTTGAAAGTCACATGCATGGAGCAAATAAAGCCACATAACAACACAAACGTATTATTTTTGTGCTTTTTAATTAGACTACCGATTGTTATATTTTGTTTGAAGCAGAATTTAAAAAAAACTTTAAAACGACCAAATTTTTTTTTGATAACCCACGAATCAACATTTAGATATATCCATGACTCTAGCAATTAACAATTGTTATTTTCGTTCATTTTTCATATGTCTCTATAAAAATAATACCCACCAGAATCTGGATGTTGCATATTCAAGTATTCAAATAATTATTTTTAATTGATATTTTGAATTACTCACCGTTCAAATGCAAATATCTGTTATTCTCGTTGAAGTTCAGTGAAGACTTTGAGGAAATAATATATAGCATTAATATACATATAAAGTACCAACATGCGTTTCAATTATTGTTATCAATGTACTTCACTAATTGTTATCTATAAGGAAGATAATGACACAGTTTTTACTTTTTCGAATTTTGAAAATCTTAATCTCTCTTGAATATGTACGGATGGATTGTTCTGGGTACGTTACATTACATTTATTTTTTGTAGAAAAAAGTTCTCTACAATCATTTCTGTCTGTAGTTTATTGTAAAATGATAAATTGAAACGCCTTTAGTATAATTGGCGTATTAAAACACTCTAATAATATTTTAAATTTTTAAATTATACATTTCTATGATATTTCATAACTGTGGTAACTTAATATTGCCATTTAAATGCAATAGAGGATTGAATTAGTTTTTGATAATATCAATTTAAAATGAAAATCACTCCACTTTGATTTCTACAATGTTTCACTGCATATGTCTGCATAAACTAAAATTTTCTCGAGACACATTAGTGGAATAGAAAACACAATTTTCATGGATAATTTTTTTCTTTAACCTCAGTCAGAGTTTTATAAACTTTAGATATTTACGTGAATAAATCAAGCATGAATAATTTAAGTAGGTCATATGAAATGTATAGACATACCAGTATTCAAGCTCAAAAGTCCATCTAACAAAATATTTTTTGAGTACGCAGTATAGTTAATATACCAGATTCAACCATTTGCACTTATTTGTGATTAAAAACAATCTTAATTGCAATGGTATTTTAAAAATTATTTTCCTAAATATGACAAAGTAGCTTTGATTATTAACTAGATATTTAGGAGGATTAGTTTTTTTTCTATTTAAACTCGTCACGTAATGTGACAGCCGCGTGAATTTAGAAGTCATACTTACAATACCTAGGTCACTTATAAATTTACGCAAGGGCGTAATCAAGTTTGAATTATTTAAAAAAAAATACTTCTGAAATCATTGAAGTTTGTGAAAAGTGTTTCGATCCCACAAGTATATTTTTTGTACTCTGTCTACCTACCTAATCATGAACAAACGTAAGTTTTAGTTTGAATTCACTTATCATATTACACTTCTTAGGACTGATGGTTTTGTTTGCTGTGACGGATATTTTTGGGATGAAAGTCTTCAAGCCTGCACAGGTTAGTGTAAAAAATAATTTTTTGAAAATACAGAAATTTATAGTATCTTGAATCTTTTCTGCAGAGAACTTTCTTCGCAGGACAATGCAACAGGGTAAAAGTTTGCCTACAGATTCAATTTTTTGTATAGCGATTCATGAATATAATGCCTAAATGTATCAGAAAATGTACTAGGCTGTTACCGAGAAAAAAAACTTTTTATATTGCCATTTCTTAATTCGTGAGAGGTGCCCAATTTTGAAATTTGCAATTATTGCATGAAGAACTAGACTAAGTGTTTGTTAAATTCTTTGGATATTTATTTAGACAAATATGCCATATATGAAAACTATTCCTGATACAAACTTTTGGTGTAATATGTCCTCACACTTTTGACTTCGTTCAAAAGTCTTATCAATGGACCAATAATAAATACCATTCAAAACCTTCGAAGAAAAGTTTACCCACTTAATTGCAAAAAAAATTTAATATTTTTAATCCAAATTAACAACAAAAACAAAGGAAAACCTGAATAAATGTCTTTTTAAAAATCTTAGCGCGATTTTGATGTCTGTTTAAACCTCTTATTATATTACTAAGTATAGTACTTAGTATAACTTGTCATTTCTTTAAAGAGTGCACACCAGGGTTCGTTGGCATTGGATGCAGTATCGCTTGTCCATTTCCTCTGTTTGGAGCCAAATGTATAAAAACATGTTTTTGTCCTCCAGAAGACTGCAATGTCTCGATTGGGTGTCCTAGCACAAGTAAGCATTTATCTTTGCAATTAAAAAAAAAACTTTTCTAGAGATCATTGTAATAATGAATACGACAATGTAAATATTTACATTGTCTTCTTTATTCTATAGCGTACGAATAATCTTAATTGTTTCACAAAATGTTTCTTAACCTGGTATACAACGTAGAAAATGCTTTATTTCTAGATCAATATTCAACCTTTTGGACAACTCGTTTATTCGAAAAGACAACGAGTAAAATTGGTACAGAAGATACGCACAGAACAACAAGTTTAATATTGCAATATAGTACCTCTTCTACCACTGTAAACCAACGCCTGGGAGAGTCAAACCAAAATATTACAAATAGCCCTATTTTCTGGGGACTTTTTATATGCAATGGTACAATATTGCTTTTGGTGGCCACTTATATATTTTATCGATTAAGAAAGACATGTACATCGAAAACAATTCAGTCAAAAAATGCAGACCTGGTTAGCACAGTACATATAAGCTCTGCTATTTCAAACCGAGAGAGCAGCTACGTGGCCACAGAAGAAAGTAACTTGGTTTCACATTATAATCAAATCTATAATGAAATCGAAAAATCAAGCTCAGAGGAGGAATCCTCGTCAGTTTATAACCAGACTATTGAGATTTTAAGGGAAGATGATCCACGAAAGTGTGCTTCAAAAGTCTATACCAAGCAGGAAACAAATTTGGAAAGGAACAATGGAGGTAACAGAGAAAGAAGAGATATAAATGAACTTTATTTGACTGTCATTTCTAGCTAGAGTTATCACACATAGCGAGGAAAAAATGCATTTGAAAATGGATATAATTTTTGCCATTGGTGTTTTGTGCACTTTCGTTTCAAATGTTTTTCCAGCCATGTAACTTTGTAAAGCCTACTAGATTAAAATAATATAAAAATCATGTTTGAAGAAATGTCAGGAAAGTCAAAATTAAAAAAAAAAACAGCATTGAATTGCTATTGCATTTAATGCAACATTCAAACATCCGGATGTTCTTTGATCAAAATTTCAGAATGGATTTTCTAGAAAATATTTCCGGATATAGGAAACATGCCAATCTCATGAAAAATAAAAACATAAGTGGTTAAATTAATTAGTATTTTAGATATATAAAAGTTCTGTATATTTAACACGTCGTATTAAAAATTGTGCAAATATTTCCTTGCATTGTTGTCAACATGGACTTTCATGTAAAGCTTAATTTTAAAACAGTAATTTTATCAGATTTCTTACAGGGTAATTGATGGAATAATAACACAATAATACTGAATCTCTCTCTCTCTCTCTCTCTCTCTCTCTCTCTCTGGAAAATAAAAAGGAGCTTTAAAACAAAAATTTCATTCACAACAGTAAATTGTTTGTCAAACTAAGATAGAAGGATTTCATTTTCATATAATATAGATTGAAGTGATTATGTTTTTGATTTATCAGAAAAGACAAATTATTTTATTCGAAAAACTATGTTGTTTCCGTATCTTCATTTTACGTATCCAATGTACCTCATTTGAACGTCTTTGTCCACTACACTTCTGATCTATGTCAAAATCGTTTTAACCAGAACGAAGAAAAAATGTCTATCCCTAACAAGACCTACAACTGATCGTTTTTTTTTCTGGTGAACATTTTTCACGCAGGGTTTGCAAATGTAAATTGTGTAAGGTACAGCATTATTGTTAAATCTTTAGTTAAAAGAAATCTCAGCCATCAATGAAGAATAATGAAATTTCTGCTGAGACACTCCTCATTTTAAATTATTCTTTTTTAGTTCATTTCTTATTTATTCCCTAGAAGTGTAAACTCTTCTGCCACCCTTTTTCCTTGAGTGATCCGAGATTCCTCTGACTCTAACCCCTGTTTTTACATTGTGACTTGTGCAGGGGAGAGTAAGAGCGGAGGCAATATTCAAAAGTTGGAATTCAGCGACACTATCTGGTGTCGCAACTCTGCCTACCTTTTAGAACTTTATTTCGCGGAGCTAACTCCCGAGACGTGAGAAATCAGTAAAGTGATGATTCTTCTACAATTTAATCGTCAGTAAAAGGATGCTACCGCCATATAAACGGTGTTATAATCACCGACAAATGTAGCATCACTTGAATTAGGTCGCCTACTCGCCATTCGACTTCTTTGTGCATGACGTCAGCACACAAATACACAAAATTCCAATCGGTTTGAAAGTGCTCAAACCACATGTGGACCGTTCGAAAGTGTTGTGAAAAAATACATAAAACAACATTATGATGTTTAATATATTTATTGATAAAGAAAGTAACTGTCAAAAAAAACTTCTATGCTTATATGAGGTTATAAAAAAACAGCAATAACACCATACATGATATTTTCACGTGATAGTTTGTGTATTTGTGTGTGACGTCATGCGCAAATTAATTCTGCGCATCAATATTATATATTTTTTTAAAACAAGTCCCAATTATTACGTATTCAGCATAAAAATTGTTTTCAGGCTAGCAATGTAAGAATGGTTAAATCAAGTTTCAGCCGCTTCGATTAAGCTCCACCCCATACCAAACTTACCTGAGGAAATCCGACCGGTTGAAAACCTCGGCCTTTAAAGGAGAGATTTTTTACCGGGTGGGGGAGGAGCTTTTTTGTACAGATGTGAATGCCTTGGGGGCTAGCAGTCTACAAAACTTGTGGTCATCTGTCTCCTAACACCTATACACAGGAAGTGATTTAATACACAGTGAAATACCCCAGGTGTCAAACTGTGGGATTTTGAGACAATTTTAAATTAGAAGTAAAACATTTTTAAATAATCTATATTGATTTATTTTTAAATGTTTGAAAACACCCCTACCCATTTAAAACAGTTATGATATCATACAATAAAGTCAAATATTACAACAAAGATTATTTTAGATGTTAATGTATGTGTTAATTAAAAAAATCTCCAGTTAATACAACCAAATTAGGTTTATTTCATTTATTCCCAGGATCCAATTCATTAACCCTTTAACGCCCAGAGACGCCTTTTGACGCCTTTTCAGCAACTCGGACATTTAACTGCTGGCGTTTCGTAAATAATTGGAATACAACAAAACATTTGATATTTTCGTAAACTAAAGAAGAAACTGAACACTTTAGCTACACAAAGTTTTTCTATATGATGCTAAGAAATTATCGTAAACTTGAAGTCAATATTGCATATCCTACTAAGAAGTTGATAAAATTACGCATAAATTACTGATTTTGTGCTATCTTCTGTGGCCTTTAACTAAATTTCAGCACAAAATTAAATTTTTAAAAATGCCATAACCCAAAAGTTTGGAACTTTCCCTACATTTTTATAACAAACTTTTTAGGGTACATGCATTCGTTACAGAGATATTTGTTGTTGAAAATTGAATCTTTTTAGAGTAAAACACAAAAAATGCACTGTGACGTCATTTGACGTTTTAATATGTACAATGAAATTGTGTATGGATGCAGTGTAAAACGAACTGATTCTTTTGATACTTGGAACAGATTATTTTTTTGAAAATGACTTATTTATAAAGAAGAGTTAATGTTCGACATGATCTGAGTCATTGACATAATAAATGATTTTTCCATAGCTTTGGGAGAGATATTATGCACATGTAGTAATTGTCGCTTGCTCAGCGCCCCGATTGCGCACACCTGTTTCAGAAATCCCTGTCGAATTTGTGTCATTTTTACATGTACTTAAGAACAATTAATCAAATAATTACATATTATCGTTACCATCTTACATATCATTTAAAATTATTTTTAAAAATACAAGCATATTCATGGGCGTCGGAAGCATATTGAAAGTGTGTGTGTGGAGGGGGGGGGGGGGGGGGGGGGGCTAAACCAACAAAAAAAGGTAAATCCCAATTTTCGTTTGAATTATTTCCCTTTCTGTTACCATAGTTTTTACGTACACAGAGGGAAACAAAGCTTGAACGTCCATGTAAGATCTTTAAGCGTCAGAGATTCATTTCCACTGCGACTTTGAATAAAACAAATAGAGGAAAATGTCTTTTCAGAGAGAGAGAGAGAGAGAGAGAGAGAGAGAGAGAGAGAGAGAAATTTCGTCACTGAGTTGCACGTAGTCCGAAAAATCTGACGTTCTCCTGGCTTTTTTTTTTTTTACGAAACTCGTCTGTCTGTTTGTCAGGGCTTCCCCTCTAATAATTAAAATTAATGTATTCCCATTACCGGTATATTCGAGCTAAAATTTCACATTTTATTTATTTTTTTACAGAACTGTAAAGCGTATTTAGAATCAATGTTTCTGTATCTATTATAAATATATTAATACATGTACTTGCATGCAAATTTGTTTTATATCATAAGAACTGTAGTTGTGTGAAAGTAAGTCAGTACTGTGATTTAAAATCATATCTCAAGCCATGGTTCCTAGTCCACTTTTTGCCTCTAGAATAGAAGCTGATCTTATTCTTACATTTAGGCCGTGTTTAGATAGTATTGTTCTAGAATTGTTCCAGTATTGTGTGTCACCTGAGCAACATTTTTCAGCTGTATTTATTTTACTGTAGAAAAGCATAAACATGGGGCGTCCCTAAATAAAATTCGGTGAGATTGCTTTGCATAATCCTCCTAAATGAAATATAATAGCAATTTAACAGATACATACATGTATACCCTGGTGCAGAAATTATGCATTTTTTTTAGGTCAATGACTGGTCGTAGTCTTCACCTTTTTCACCTTTACATTTCATTTGCAGAACAGTAAAAAGTTCCAAAGTCATGAACACTCGTATTAATACATGTGGTGTAACTAAGTCGTTATAATTAAATTACGATGCAAAATTTTTACTCTTTGCTATACGTACGCCTATATTTGCTACCAAGTGCCACATTTTTTTTAATTTCACAATATGCGATTGTCTTTTTTCCCAGGGGGTGTGTGGGGGTGTGGGGGGGGGGGGGTAAAGTTCATCGTCTAAATAACATAACATCTATTACATATTTTGATGAACAATTACATGCATTTATCTATATAAATTTTGTCAGTTTTCACAGAGTTAAAACAAGTGTATCAAACTTGATAAATTAGAAAATTTGGAATAAATAAAAAAAACTCCCTCATTGAATAGTCTTTTAGAGATAAGCCGGGATTACAAGTAGCTGGGAGAGTTGATTATACTGTTACAAAAAATAAATAAAACCGAGCGAGTATGTAGAACATTAACCAGATGATCGCGCCAAAATAGCAAAATGTGCCATTGGAAATCAAAGTCGTTTTTTTTTTTTTTTTTTAACTGCAGAAATAAGTTAATGAAAGTTAAATCAAATGTATCGGGAAATAATACCTAATAAAGCTCTACAATTTTGGTAAAACTTGTGTTTTTCACAGCAGAAATCAACGGAAAATATTTCTTTTTAAAAATATCCCTTTCAACTATAGTGAATTGTTATTCAACAAATACATTCCCAAGCTTTTGTCGATTCACAAGGCGGGGGAGGGGTGGTTATCTTTGCAGAGAAATATATGTTTGACATTATATGAGTTAAACCTACGAAGGAAAAAATGAAGGATCATCTATCCATATCCATAAGTGTTTTTAAATCTGAGTATAAAGTCTGGTGGAGTTTAAAAGCTTGATTTCAATATATATATTTCTTCTAGCCCCCTTATAAAAAGAGTTGTAATTAAGAACAATTAAAAATTTGACACCGTTTTAATACAATAATTTAATCACTACATGTATATATAGTGAACGCATGTTTGCAGTAAAATTCTCATTTTTATTGAACTCAGGTGGTGTTAA